TTTAATTCAATTTATATAAAATGTCAATTATCAGCATCTGATTTGTACAAATTTTGAAAATAGATCATATCAAAGCTTAATATCAGGAGTTTGAAAATACTTTTATCCATGTTCTCTATTATAAGTTACAAATGTTTGATGCATTAGATTTGTTTGAACAGACATTACAGTATAGATATAGATTTATAATATCAGCCATCATATTGGTTACAAGTCACTGCATAATAATTATCGCCTATCAGCAAAGCTGTAGCCATTTATTTAGAACTGGAGACCAAACAAAAATTTAAGAACCAACCATTAAAAACCAGTATCAGTCACACATTATTCTGAATTTTAGGGGGAATGTCTCATACTCTATGCATATTATTCTACAGCTTTCAGATATGAGAACCAAGATGTAAGAATCCGTAACTAGAAGTGAAAATAAAAATGGGACAATGATCTCATAATGTGGAAAGACATCAACTGCATAACCAATGAAATAGTTTGAAACTTACAGGTATCCCAACAGCCCAAATATCAAAGGCAAATTTAAAAGTGATAGTTATAATTTCTCATATGCATGTCCCTGACGCCTACTGTTTTGTAAAAGCGGTCAATAAAGTTGGATTTATTGATGGAGATGTTGAGTCTAAAGGCCTTACGGGGCTGGCAGCTCCACACTTCCGATATGAATCATTGCACGACACTTCACACTCTTAACGTCGCTGCATTCATTTTTGACAAGTACTCCAACTATCGCGAACGGCAGTTTCAATGCAGTAAGGAGAAATTAGTTGATATTTTACCTGCAATGCTTCACGCGGGTCTGCCCATTCCGCCCCGTGCCGTCTGCATGTAAACACTCCAGCGCGAGTCAGGCGGATGTGCCGCAGAACAGCTGATCAGACACGTGACTCCGGAGACGGGAAGCCTGAGCGCGACTTCTAATATCACAGGCTTGAAACGCGCGCGCTATTTTATCCTTGTTTGTATCGAAAGTCAGAAATAATAACTAATCTAATATAAGAGCTGAGGGTGGATTACGGAGAAGTATTTCTTTATATGACCCAAAAGTCACCATTTGACGCCATATACCACATTTAAAAGTGAATTTCGAGACTGGCAAAGCACTTGTCCCACTTTACCAGCCATTAGTTTTTCAAATAGCAGATTAATGAAGCAGAAATGAATAAGAGATGTTTGCTAAAACTCTTCGTAACATAAATGTACCATTTCATTTTATTATCTCGTAATCACAAATTGACAGTCTGTACTCCTAAAAGCAACTTTCCTCAGATAATAACTCATATGTGACCATGGACCACAAAACCAGTCATAAGGGTCATTTTTATTTTAAATTGATAAAAAAGAAAAAGAAAAAGATACATAAGTTGAATGAATAAGCTTACCATTGGTGTATGGTTTGTTAGAATAGGAAAATATTTGGCCAAGATACAACTATTTGAAAATCTGGAATCAGGGTGCAAAAAAATAATTAAAAAAATCTAAATATTGAGAAAATCGCCCTTAAATGAGGTTCTCAATATCATGCATATGATATTACTAATCAACAATTTAGTTTTGATATATTTACGTTAGGAAATTTACAAAATATCTTCATGGAACATCAACATGATCTCTAGTTAATACCCTAATGATTTTTGAAAACTGATATTGGACTGTCAAAGTCAGTGGGATTTTTAGATATTTTCCCACATTTTAGGTAGACTGTGTTAGTATCTAGTAAAACAAAGTGACTCCTGCATTTAATACATGTGTGAAATGAAAAATACGGTTATGTCGTACTGCAAGTTATGTCGTACTGACTGACATAATGAGCTGAAATTCAGTTTGAATCCTGTAGTCTCAGTTTAATCCTATCTGGTGAATGCTTGATTTGTCAATATTAATATGAAATATTTGACATTTCTTTTGTAACTGACAGTGTTGACCCCATATACAGTGATATATATATGGAGAAAATGGAAGTACAATAATAATGTCTGAATAATAATACTAAACAAACTCAACTTAAGATGGTAAGAAAAATGTGACCCTGGACCACAAAACCAGTCATAATGGGTAAATTTTTCAAAATTTGTTAGGACAGGACAATATTTGGCAGAGATACAACTATTTGAACATCTGGACTCTGAGGGTTCAAAAAAATCTAAATATCCAAAAAGTCCTTAGCAATGCATATTACTTATCAAAAATTACGCTTTGATATATTTACGGTAGAAAATTTACAAAATATCTTCATGGAATGTATTTACTTAATATACTAATGATTTTTGGCATAAAAGAAAAATCGATGGTTTTGACCCATACAATGTATTGTTGGCTATTGCTACAAATATACCCGTGCTACTTATGACTGGATTTGTGGTCCAGGGTCACATATTGACAGGATTGTCAATCCTGACACTAACTAGCAGAGAAATAAAGTTCTATAATCAAGAATGCCTTCACAGTTAACAAACATATAAAGCCCATTTTCTAGTTCTCGAATAAAATGGCTTTAAATATAATGAACAATAACAAACAGTACAGATTTATTGTAATTCATTAGAGAGAGAGAACTATTCACTGTAATTCAAAGTGCTGTTTCTATTGTGTTTTGTTCTATTGACAATAATACAGTAATGTGCTGTTTGCTTCTAACATAAAATATATCACGGTTTCAGGGTCTCTGGCAACAGTTCTTGTAAAAGACAACACTGTCTGGCTGAAAATGCCACCATTAACACTGACTGACGTTGCCCGCCACCTGCAAAGATTCAATTGAGGATTTGAGCAGAAAACGAGACAAACAATAAATAATACTACTATAAAATTGCAAATCACATTAATTTAGGGGTGTAAATATTTGCTCTAACAACAATTTAAATTAGCGATTCTTCCTTAAATGCTGTGATACATTATGATAATGGTGGCTTAATTAGGTTTGAATATTATAATCGCTCCATTTAATTTTCATAGTCAGACATGAGCGTTTTTACACCCCTAATATTAATAAAACATCTTTTAGAAATTAGAACATTGATGTTTAATGAATTCTTTCCGTGGCATTTTCATTTGTGAAATTTTCAAGTCCATCCAAAGTATGAGGTATCAGTAAAACACCTTGTGCATGAAGGCACAACCGTAAATAAATACGCTACATGGAATTGTCAAATCACCCAGTATTCATTGCTGTTTGTTTGTTAATTTAATACACTACGATTCAAAAGTTTGAGGTTGGTATGAGTTTTTTTTTTTATGTTTTTGAAGTCTCTTATGCTCATTCAGGTTGTATTTATTTAATCAAATATACAGTAAAAACAGTAATGCGAAATATTATTACAATTTAAAATAACTTTTCTATTTTAAATATTTTGAAATGTAATTAATCCTTCAGATACTTAAAGAAATCATTCTAGTATGCTGATTTGCTCCTCCTCCTCCTCAAAAAAAGTATTATCAATGTTGAAAACAGTAATGCTGCTTAATATTTTTGTGGAAACCGTGACACGTTATTTTTCAGTATTCTAAAATGAATAGAAAGTTCAAAAGAACTGTTTATTTCAAATAGAAGCCTTTTGTCATATTATAAATGTCTCTTTTGATCAGTTTAATGCATCCTTGCTGAATTGAAGTATTAAGTTCATTCAAACAAAATAGCCCCAAACTTTTGAATGGTAGTGTATGCAGTTTTTAGGAGTTTATGAATTGGCAGTAGGTGGGACTATCATCGCGCTCCTCCTTACATGGAAGCTCCTCTTCTTTTTTAATAGTAATGATAAAGCGAGTTTGTGTAGATGCATTTTGCTCCACCACACCATCTTGTTTCCCTGTCATAATGTTTGCATTTGTCTCCTCATCGTTTTCCATTGTATCCCTGCATTCCTCCTCTGCCTCCATGTAATCGTCTTCCCTTTCCTCAATCTCTCTTTCTCCTCTGTTGTCCTGCTCTTCCTGTCTAAGCCAGTTGTGACCATTGAAAAAGCTGAGAACAGCCTCTTTGGCTACTCCTAGTTGAGCAGATAGTGTATGAATGGCCTCTTGATCTGGATGTAGTCCCACTTCCTGAATGAAACTCTGCAGGATTGCATGGGCTTCTGGTGGTAAAGACCTGCCTCCAATATTTGGGCCCATGTGAGTGTCTTTGAGACATCCAGTGATGAGATGCTGCTGGAGGAAGTGTTGATGATGCTGAGGTGGAATTTTATGCAGTTGTTGGTGCTGCTTCAGAGGCACCATATACATGACCTTTGGGGAAAAAAATCAATAAAACTTATTTTTCCATTACAAAATAAATTATCAGCATAACAATTTGAAAATCTTACATTTTGAAATTAGGAATTCACATGGTTAATGCCATAATATGTGAGTTATAATAAATGGTTTTAAAATTGGATATGGTTAATAAATAATTATGAGATCTAACACATCAAAACATGTTTGATTTTATATATTAGGGCCCATATTAGCAAAATAAATGTAAACAATTTACAGTCAGTAATCGGATATTCATAATGTATTGTAATTGTTTACTAAAATTATAATTACAGAAGTTTGTGTGAGAAACTCACTTGTAGTTGTTCTGTCAGTGGTCTTGTGTGCTTTTCTGAGTAGAACGTCTGCCCGGTATTGCTCTCTTGGTCATATATAACATCTCGCTCTGATTGGCTAAGATTTAGGAACTGGCGAATCAGAGACAGATTTTCCCACAGTGTACGATTCTGAGGCGATGGCTCCTCCTTCCAGCGCAGGAGCTCACACAGCCAGCCCTAAAACACAGACACAAATACAGCAGGTTTCAAACATCTGAGACAATGTTGTAAATTTGTTTCAAAATCTAATTTAAACCTAGACGTTAATGTAATGTTTTAGGATTTTTTTCGCCCATTTGAAAATGTTCTAATGTAAAATGAATAAGAAATATTTTATTTATGCTTTCCATGTCATAAATATTTAAATATATAATAAATATTTATATGTAGGAGATAAATATTTAATTTTCAAGAAATATTTAAAATTCTGCAGTATTTCTAGGTCACCAGTCAAATAAGCAAAATTATGACCTTAACCATGTGAATTCCTTTGTTCAAAATGTAAGATTTTCAAATTGTTATGCTGATCATTTAATTTGTAATGGAAAAATAAGTTTTATTGGATAATATTTCACAAAATAACTGGGTTTTTTTTCTGTTTAAAAATGTAAGAAAAAACTCTTAAATGGTTATGCTGGTAATCTAATTTTCAATGGATAAAATGCTAAATCAATAAATTAATTAATTAAAAAAGCCACAATTCCACTAGTGTTTTAGACATTTTGACCCTACATATTGTCTCCTAAAACTGGGAGTGGATTAATACTAATCATACTACAGTACTTAATACTAATCATATTACAGTCAGTGCATTCAAGGTATAGGCTATAAATTGGATTTAAATTTATTGTATTTAAATATGCATTAAATGTGTATACCTTGAATGCAATGTTAGTGTTTTTAGACGAGTGTCTACCAAATATTAAAATAGAAAAGTTATTTTAAAGTGTAATAATATTTCACAATATTACTGTTTTTACAGGAATTTTGATCAAAGAAAAGCAGCCTTCTTTTAATAACATTAGATTTCTATTTAAAGAAATGTATTTCTTCTAGTAATTTAGACTTTTGGACCCTACTGTACATTAAAACTGGGAGTGGATTAATACTAATTATTTTCATAATCACTATATTACAGTATATGAATTGTAGGTACAGTATATACTGCACATATCCTTGCATTCCCTGCTTTCATATAAATATTTATTATATGTTTAATTATGTATGAAATGTATATACCTCAAATGCAATGAAAGCTGCTTTGGATAAAATGCGTAAATGTACTGTCTTGTAAGGTGTACCTCTTTCCCATTTTTTATTAGAGATTTCTTGT